TGATATTTATGTACATTGTATATTATTTTATATTGAAATTCATTTGAAATAATAATTGTATATAAAAATGTATCAGTATATTTATTTTCATTGAAGCTTCGCTACGCAAGCAACATTGTAACATGATACTGCCGCGCATCTCATTCTCGCTCTTTCGCCGTCTCGCTCTATCTAATACAAACTTAAAATGCTCATAACTCATAAATGCTCATAAAAGTTAATTAAACTTTATTGGACATATGCATATATGAACTTTTTTCATCGTTTTGATGTCTAGAATTCACCTTTCGAAGGTATCTCTCATGTTTATTAACTCTGTATATGATAATAAAAATTTGTATAGATGTAGAATATAATCAATTGTATCAAAAGTTTCGGTTTTTATATCGGGAACAATTTCATAATTTTTTTCACGTTTAATTTGTAATGACTTCGTCTATAAAATATATTTTATAACAAGATAATGGAGCAATAAATAAAAGTTAATTATTTTATAGTTTAGAATTTTGTTTTATCTCTTTTGTTTTATAACTTATCATTAAGTTAAATTTATCAAAAAATTTAAAAAAGTAAAAATTATATTAATATTTTAAGGATTGATTTCATTATTAATAGTAATCAATAAAATATTAGAAATATTTCTTCGAATAATTTTTTTTATTACTTCATATAATTAAATAATTACTTCATAACTTGTTATGATTTAAATATTCATAATGTTTCATATAAAATAAAATTATTGTTTTTAATATAATAATTGTATTTATGATTAATTATATATTATACAATATATTTTTTTCATTTTCTTATCTTTATTTATGATTTCTAAATAATATAAATTTTTCATCTATTTTAATTTAAGAAAATGATATATCATTTGCAATATATAGCATAAGATTTTGCTATATTTTTTTCAATACCAATATAATAAAGAAATTCAAGCAAAAAATAAGAAGAAAAATATTAAAGTTTATGCAATATGTCAATATTTCAAATTTTTGCATTGTTCGAGCGATAATTATTGACAAAACATTTTGGAATATCGATCTTAGAGATTAAAACAAACACAAAAGTTGATATACAAAAATGTTGATTAAGATTTATTTATTAAGCTATATTAAATTATGAGCAATTTAAATTTGCATTAGAAGAAGTGAGACAGTTGTCCTATTTTATTTCCATCTTCCTTCATCTAATACTAACTTATATCTTAATAAATAATCTATTGTTATTTTTGTGTTTGTTTCACCTTCTAGAATTAACTCTCTAAAGAATTATTCTACCAATATATTAACATTCTATCATACAAATGATAGAATGTTAAAAATAGACGACGATGTGACAAAAATAAAGCTATCTTACTCTATTTAAAACTTATCTTACTTTATTTAAAATGTAAATTTCAATTGCTAATTTTATAAATAAACCTTAACTAATATTTTTGTATACCATCCATTCCGTTTGTTTCAGCCTCTTCAAAGATATTCCACGAATATATTAACATCCTGCATTAACATTCTGTAATAATCCTGTATTAACATTCTGCATCGCAACAGTACATTTATCGAATTCTGCGTCGTTTTTGTATATCGCAGGAAGGAAGAGGAATGATAAATGATTTCGCGAAAATTGTATATAGAGATAAAGATATATAAAGATATATGCGTGGTGACGCGATTGTAACGTGGCTGATTGTTTGATAAACTCGAAGTAAGTATGTAATTAACTAATAAATACAAATTTATCGCTTTACCGGATTGAGAAAACTGGAACAATTTCTTGTGCAATTGTGAGACGCAACGTATAATAAAAAATTATTGTATCTGACGTAAAATATTGTTTACGAAAAAAAAAGAAATGGTAAAAGCTGATGACGCGAGACGAGACATCGCAACAGAAAACGGGTGAAAAGGGCATCTGCCAGTCACAACATACGAAGCGTCTTATGATAAATTCGAAACGCATGTTTCGCGGCATAGCTTGATGCGACACTATATCGTGAATCTAACTCGTACTATTTTTCGAAGGAAAATAATTTATCGTTAAATCGAATCCGGGTAAATGTCTGTCAATCATTCTTGAAACAATTTTTAGGAAGGATGTGCCTTTCTTCTCTGTGAAAATTACTACTAAGTCGGAAGATTCGTAAATCGGTTTGATTCAAGAAACTTGATTCAATGGTAATATGCCGATGTTATCATCAGTCGCCATTGAGGATTTTTTCGTCTACGGCCGATAAATGGTAGTAGCATGTTTGACATAAATCGATCAAGGACCATACGTACAGTTTCGAGTCGAATTCATCTGTCGAAGATCAACTGTCACAAATGTGAATTGACAAATTGAATAAACAACTCAAAGAGATAGAGAGAATAATTGGAGGAAAGAATTGAACACGAATAATCCTAGTTTTTTTTAAAAAGAAAGGGGGAAGAAGAATGGAATAAATGGAGAGTGAAATAGAAAAGAAGAAAACAAATAGATGATGCGCAAAATGGCAAAAACGAAGGACAAATGACGATTGGTAGTGATAATATCGAAGCGCAAAATCAGTTTAAAGCATAAATAACAATCAAAATAGATATTGTTTTTTTTTTTTT